TCCGTGAATGCCAGCATCAATGTAAAATGATCAATCAGACGACACATCACTGCCCCGATAAAATGAGTGGAACTACAGTTTGCTAGAGGAGATCATCCACAGATCGGTGAGTTATGCCAGAACAATTTGAGTTTTTGGTCTTACGGGCACGTCTTGCTTGCATCAGCGAAGAGCTCACATTAACTTTAGCGCAAGCCTGAGCTGCTTTCTTGTGCGCTCCATGAAAAAGGGACCTAGCTAGCGTCCGGCTGCTACTGGCCCAGTCTTATCACTCGGACCAATCCCGAGGTTCTGAACTCTTCTGAACAGCAAACCACAGAGATGGTGACGATTTCGAGTTTTGTCGAGAGTATTTTAAGTGATTCGTTTCTACCGCCGTTGCGGCGCATTTCTAAGCACAGTTCCATTATTTCAGTCAACAAGGAACCTTTATTAGCAACAGGTTGTGGCACACTTGTCCGAGGGCAGTGCGTAATTTTCGGGAATGTTTCTTCGTCTGGATCTGTTTGGCATGCTACAGCCACTTTCTCCTTCCTGCAAAAAAAACATCACATAAAAAATCCATCACTTTTTTTTGGAAGAAATAGCCAAAAAACATTTAAAACTTTTGCATCGTGTTTCTCATATGAGTGCCTTTACAGTGTTATTTAAGATCCTGTTATCCTGGTTTCAAGATTCAAGCGAAGAAAATTATTGATGTGCTTATTTATCCGTCGTCCGGTTTATTCCTCTCCCTTCGTTTCTTTTTTCAATTATTTTCCAAACCTCTTCTCACCCTTTTCAGATCATAACCAATTCTTCTTTACCAAAAAAAAAACTATTTTACGATACCACAAAACTGTCGTACCGTTTCAGTCCAATTTTGGTGCTAAATAGTAAATTGGAATGTTTGCGACTTAACAGGCCGCAACATCCCTGTGCACTCATTTTCTTGTAATAATTTTATATATATATGTATATATGTACATGTGTATATGTATATATATGTATATATACATATACGTACGCTTATGTATACACCATGGTTAATATCTCTACTGTATACACAGCGCACCGGTTGCAAAATTATATCAAAACAGCTAGAAAACAAAACCCCGATCATGAAACTTGTAGAAGGAAACCTCAGCAAATAATCTAATCAATCCCAAATTACGACACGATGGGAAAACCTCGGATCGTGTAAGCAGAACAAATTTGAACAACGAGATTGATACAAGGCAAAATTAGGAATCACTGGGCCACTAGAGAAGGGTAAGCCAAGTGACAGTGCAAAAGTGTGTAGTTCAGAAGTACGGTACAAAAGAAAGCCGGATACCTGATACCACTTTGGTGCACCAGGCAAAGGTTCCCTCTTCTCTCGCCATCCACTGCGGATGTTTTCACAATTTCGTGGCAATTTGCTGACGAACGCGTCCGCGCAGTAATCATTTCTGTCTCGCCTGAAATACACAGTGCTTGTTCATCATACACATCTGAATAACATGCACTCCAGTGAGTGCTGAGAGGATGAGAAGCAGGGGCCCTGCTAAAATTGTATCTTGATCCCGATTTTAAATGCAAATGAGCTGTTATCGAGATAACACATCTGCTTTTTTTTTTTTTATTTCTCTGGTGA